TATTAAAATTTTTACCTGTCATAGTCTTCCACTTGTTTTTTCTCCTCTGCTGTAAGTGACACCTCCGGACTTTCTAAATTCATTGCATATGAAAGCTTAACTATCCGTCTAAAGAATTACTTCAATGCTTGACGCATAAAATTTGCTTAAAACTGTGAAATATTCAAATAATCTGTACACCCCTTTGCCGTCTTCAAACTGCGGCCATATTGGATTTTGACCAAAATATTTCGCATCAAAAGTTTAACAAAACGATTTCTCATGCAGAAGGACCTCGATCCCGACCAAAGTTTTCCATCTACAGAATTTTAACGATTTGAAGTGCAAAAAGAGTATACATGGTATAACTGAATGCATGACGTTTATTTTTTTCATCATTCAAGAACCCCATGATATGATAAATAAAATAATGCAACAGGGACCTATATACTAATATAGTATATAGGTCCCTGAATGCAAGTACACATTATTTCCAATAGAGCCTCATGACATACAATAATGATTATAACATATCTAACTCATTTACGCTTTCAGGGAAAATGCACTGGAAAACTTCTTAAAATACTTTTCTATGGTATGTTAAATCTACAAACCTTACATGTGACATGCTTTTTCTTGCAGAATTGTATATATGTAGCTGCAGATCTGTAGAGGAGGGGTTCGCAGTTATATGTATTTGATTTTGTGTTGTTTTGTTTGTTTGTTTGTTTGTTTTTTTTTTTTTTTTTTTTTTGTTTTTTTTTTGTTTTTTTTTGTTTTTTTTTTTTTTTTTTTTTTGTTTGGTTTTTGGTATGGGGGTGTTTAAATTTTATGTGTATTGTTTATGTTTCATTAAAAGTTTAGATTTTATTAAGTTAAACTTATCTATAACAGTCTAGACTTTTATAGATAAGTTTAACTTGATAAAGTCTAAACTTTTCATGCAACATTTAAAGTCCCTCTCGTGAATTTTTCAATCATATGAAACCACCGCCACTTGCCGTTGGAGATAAGAAAAAAGAAGTGAAAAGGGGACCGTGTCGATTTCCATGGACAGGCTGCTTTCATTCAAATGTTTCATATCAATGTTTTTGCAATGGAATCCGTATATAGTACATGTTTCCCATGAGGGGTTTATTTTGGAAATATTGCTTTGTAAATTTTAGTTAAACTCTTCATATCCCCACCCTATTCCCTGGGTAAACATATTTTTACCAAAAACATGCAATTAATCAGAATTATAGCTCTTAAATTCACTCTTCCTCATATCCCTCCTAAGAATGGACGTATGTAGGAACCGGGGGTGGGGGGGCTAAGCACGTGCCCCCAAATAATTTTGTCGTTATGAAGAATACTGTAAAAAACTTCGCTACTATTTGCTTGTGTCCCCTCAATAAGTCTTATGACCGTAGAACTTTGATGTAATATTGCCCACAAATAAAAATGTATGGTTGTCCCCACACAAACTGAAACTGCTTCCTATGGCGGCCCAGCTATGTATTCAAAGTAAAGTATGCATTCTTCCGTGTAATATAATTCATGTTCGCACGTGCGTTATTATTTATTACATAACAATTAAGTTAGTTGTAATGTAGTAAAATAAATTATTCAAGTATGAAAGAAGCTGCTACCTTGTGGACTAAACTGAGAGTTGATCATGTACAACTATTTAAACTAAAATTAAGACGAGTTAAATTTCAAATTAAAAAAAATGAATTTAGCATCAAACATGCACGTTCTTAAACGCATCTAATGAACATGTTTAATCAGCTGTTAATATTGTCAGAGTAACCCGTCCCTGGGGACGCGTACGCTTCCTCCATCACTACAGCTCACAGATGCGAACGTGAGGACAGGAACGTACATAAAGACATAGACCTGTGTTACAACGAAGGAGCCTACAGAGGTAAGATGCGCGGTTATTAAGAACGCGGGGGGGGGGGGGGGGGGGGCTGGGAAAAACCTCCGCTCATTTTTTTCAGTAATTGTTTTTTGCTGTAATTTTAGTATGGAAAATTGTATTTAGATGATTTTCATTGATGTAAAATAATAGAACTGGCACATGACATCATTTGAAAAAAGAAAAACCAAAATGTTACAGAAAGGTCCATGCATCTTTAAATTCCCCAACCCCCACGAAATAATAGGATTTTCGAGTAAATCATACAGCTCCTTTTTTTTCAAACTTTTACTGGTATTTGATAACCTTCTTTAAAAAATATTGTTGCTACTGCCTGCATACCATGTTTATATCACAGGTGCTTGTGGACAGGACCCCCCCCCCCCCCCCCCCCCCCCCCCCGACATTCAGCTCCGGGGCTTATTGAACATTTTATTCAAAAATTATATTTATTACACTTATTCATCATGTGTACAGTATGAAAAAATCGTCAAAACCCCAAAACAATCGCTCCACAAAAAAATACCCCACTACTATACATTATCTCTTATAATGTATAGTGGGGTATTTTTTTTGTGGAGCGATTGTTTAGGGGTTTTGACGACTTTTTCCTATTGTACAATTGATGAATAAGTGTAATAAATATAATTTTTGAAAAAAATGTCCAATAAGCCCCGGGATTGAATATCGGGTGGGGGTGGGGGGTCCTGTCCACAAGTACCTGTGGTTTATATTACACAAATTAATTTAGTGAAGAAGTAGATGTGACATAAATAATTTAAAAGTTATTCGTGTGGAAAAAAAACACCACACTACTTTTTAGTAGTTATTCACGAAATACACCCCCACCCCCCGACATTCAACTTAAATCTGTTTAAAAAAATTAAATCGAGATGAAAATACTGGAATTTAAATCTTGTTTCGTTTTTCTACTTGTTTTGGGATTTGCACAGGCGACAAAACTAGTTCTGCAGACTCCTGACAATCTCGGATGGTTTACTGTAGATGTTCTCCATATTAGTTGTTAAACAAGATTCATATTTAAGCATAAGAATATCAAAATTATCATGTACGGTGGCACTTATGACTTAAATTGAGCAGATCAATGAATCTGTACTATAGTTTTTTTTATTTGACTGACTTTCGGTTAATATTTTTTTCAGCATGAGTTCAGACAAATGCTACAAATATTTTTTTTTAAAAACGGAGATTGGAACCCCGGGCTTGTCCGCTACATTTTTTCCTCTCTCGTCACACTCGTATAAGCAATGACTGTACGTAGAGTTAAAAAAAAACGAATCCAGTACAACAGGGTGCCGAAGTTAAATGTTCTTGATTTATCATATTTTTCGTAAAAATTGACAACACATTTATTAATGTATAATTCTAATGCAATTGTTTTGTAAAACACTCTTTGATTGGCTAATGCACTGATGTTTGAAGCAGTAAAACGAGCATTAACGAGCGTGAAAGCTTTTTCATTGTGACGTCATAATAGAGCGACGCAAAAATGCAATGCTCCGTGACGTATTTCATGTAACAAAATTCAACAAAATAAGACGTAAACAACAAACAAAATGCATGGATTGCATTAGAATGGGAATAGCTAAACTTTTAATTTGGTATTTGCGACCGTTAATGCTGATTTAACGGTCGCAAACATCCGTTTTACCGGCTCCGCTTACGCGTCGCCGGTAAAACTCAGTTTGCGACCGTTAAATCAGCATTAACGGTCGCAAATACCAAATTAGAAGATAGTTATTCCCTAAATTACCGTATACATGTAGCTGGTGCAAAATGTGGCGTTCTGCTCTTAGAATTTTTTTTTAGGTGGATTCGGCGTTCTGTGACTTTTTGAAAAAGAGAAATTTAATCTTTTAGATGAGTTAATCTAAGCGTTTGATACCAATTTACACACGAGTTTTATTCAAACCAATACCAGATGAAAGATGCATCGTTAAACAGCATAATAATTATGCAGACCAAAGATAACTTCTTTTCTTTCAATGCTTATGAATTGAATCAATACTTATGCACCACAGGTGCTTGGGGACGGGAGCCCCCCCCCCCCCCCCCTTCCGTGTTCCGTACTCCAAGGGTTCTTTGACTTTTTTTTTTGATTAAAATATTTTTCTATAACATATTCACAAAGTATTACTACTAAAAACAATCCAAAAATTAGTTAAAACTAGCCTTTTATTAAAATCCACACCCGCTGATACTAAAACAGTTGGGTAAGGATTTTTATAAAAGGCTATTTTTAGCTTAAATTTTGGATTTTTTTAGTAGTAATACTTTGGGAATATGTCATAGAAAAATATTTAAATAAAAAATGTCAAAGAACCCTTGGAGTACGGAACACGGAAGGTGGGGGGAGGGGGGGGGGGGGTTCCCGTCCCGAAGCTCAAGCACCTATGTTATGCACAAGGATGCATAATCATGCATAATTTTAGTGGAATATTTCAAAAAGCCAAAATTATCGCCCCGCTAAAAATGGCAAGGGAAGGTCTGAGTTAGATAGAAAGTTCTATCTTTAAAATGATAAATGTCCTACGGACCCGGTTTAACTGTGATGAGGGCTTGTCCCGAGACACATTTAGAATGATTGATTGTATACTGTTCAACGTCCCTCTCCAGAATATTTCACTGATATGGAGACGTCACCATTGCCGGTGAAGGGCTGCAAATTTAGGCCTATGCTCGGCACTTACGGCCTTTGAGCAGGGAGGGATCTTTATCGTGCCACACCTGCTGTGACACGGGGCCTCGGTTTATACGGTCCATCCGAAAGACAGCCCCATCTAGAATATTCTAACTAGGTCTGAGTTCATGATGCGAGAACTGTTATGGCTGCTGAGGAGAACGCCTGGTAAACAAGCAGATTTATTTTACCTGGCTTTTCTCATATAAAGGGTTATGCTTAAAAGCAATCTATTTGCCTGCAATCGCCCGTTTTTTTTTGTTTTTTGTTTTGTTTTTTTTTTCTTCAATACACTGTATTTGCACCATAACAGAGATGCTGTGGAATTGTAGCCATCTCCAGAAAATATCAGATTTAAAAAATCAATAGAAAACCGCGGGAGTTGGGAGTTGGCCGTACTAGTTTTACCGCTTGCCTTTGGGGTTCTCCTTCTTTCACTTTCGTATCAACTTCTTACAGTGAAGAATGTCACACAAGAAGGATAAGGATAATTTCGAAGTTTTAGAAGTTGTTAGCTCCAGAGGCAATAGCTGGGTTCGAGGTGTAATCAGAGATGTTACCAGTAGATCGACAGCTCAACAGGTTGCTATAGGAGGGGCGTCGGGATGGTAGGTGGACATTTATGAGATATGCAGATTATAATGTACGTTACTGTCGTTAGCTGAATTACGTCAGCCATTCCTCAAGTTTATAATCATGATTAAGATACAATTTTTCTTGAGGAAATCATGTAAATTACCACTTACCAGTAAAATAGTTAAAAGTACATAAAAAGTTTTCAACTAATACTTCTGGCATAAAAAAAGATTAAAGAGATGAGACTAGAAAATATTCTGAATATCATTTCTCTTTTGATTTTGATAAACTCTTTATCTTGAAACTTCTTTTTTAATACTGTAGATTCCTAAATATACGCAGGAATAATTTATTGTGTAATTTCAAGAGATGCACCACACACGAGATAAAATTACTCGCCTTTATTTTTATGGTGCTGAAATCTATGTAAAATTTCTTGATCAACCATCCATTCACAAACTATTATTCTCGTGCTTTGCCATTGAAGAGCCTTTTCACCATGATAAGTACTCGCCAAAAATAAGGAATCTACAGTAGTCCATTAAATTTTTAAAGAATTATCTTTTATCTTACTGCCATCTGGATCAAATAAATTATAAATATCAGGCCAGGTGTCTAGAATTATATGCTTTTCCCGTTGCCCAGGGTGAGTAAAAATTAGTTCGGGAAGGTATAATTGTGGGTCATGCTCACTCACTGGGGAAAGTAAAATTAAAAGACCGTAGACACAAGTGATGTTGAAAGTTGCTGTTTTCATGAGTTAATTGAATGAAAATTGAGTTTATTTACTTAGCTAGTCAGTTGTCTGAAACGGTGTGAAGTGGAACGTTCCCATCAAATAAAATACACGGTATCACTACCGGAAATACTTATTTGTTGTGTAGATGAAAAACCAAAGCCGATACTCTTTCGATTTCCTGGAAATGACACGAACGTGATTTGAAGGTTATGACTACTGAAGTTGATTAATGTTAGAATATACATAGTAAATATATCCACTGAACAATGAAATACAATGCAATATAGATTGTTGGGCAAGTGAATTTTTTAGGTGGGCAAGTGAAATAATATATTGTATCACTTGCCCATGGGCAATTGAGTTATAAAAAAAAAATCTAGACCTCTGAATATATACCGGTAGATCCACTCACATATATCTTTCTAAAAATCAACTTATTTTTTTTTCTATTAAAAATTTTGACTTGATTTTTACAGGGTGGCGGGATATTTGTGTGTGAAAGTTGGGAAGTTAGCTGCCATCACACTAGGAACTTCAGTCTTAGTTTTACAGGTAAAACTGTCAGCACACTAGGAACATCAATCTTAGTTTTACAGGTAAAATTGTCATCACACTAGCAACATCACTCTTAATATTATCTAATTATGCTAAATTTAGCATTATGCATCAGAGAGCATTGTGTTAAAATTTCAAGCATCCGCAATGAGTAGTTGCTGAGAAAACTTATACAAAAATTTGTTACGGACAGCTAGACAGACGGACAGAGAGACACACAATGGTAAAACAGTATACCCCCTCTCCTTTGGAGCGGGGTTGTCAAAACAGACATAAATATTTACATTTATGGGTACATGTATTATTAGATTTGTAGTAGCTGGAGTCTGAGTTTACTAAATAGGTAACATTAATGTCGTGTAGTTAGGCAGCCAAAATTACCACACTAATTAATGATTAATTTCAATGAAATATTTTATATTTATTTAATTTTGCATATAAAAAGAAGTTCACTTGGTTTGTATGTGCATGTTTTGGTCAGATAGCACAGCATCAAGGATATGTAAAAATAGACTGGAGTTTACTAGAGAAAGATGTGGACAAAGCTAAGAGGGTTATAGAGAGGCAGACCAGGCAACAGTACCAGGGACTGGTGGAAAATGTGAGTACACAGGAAGTCACCAGGGAATTATGGGAGTACTAAAAATAGAACCAGAGAAATGAATTCTTATTTCATAGATTTATAAGCATTTAAAATATATTTTTAATCAGCAAGTAAATCAAAGCAAGCACCCTTTCATAAAAAGATAATTTAAACAATTAATAGATCAACACATTTAATATATAATTTCAGAGATCTGGAAGTGTAAGTACTTGTAAAATACACTTAAAAAGGCTTATAATGCAGTCACAACCTGACACTTTTCCATATAATGCATACCGGGGCATTCCATTTCACATAATCTTGCAATAGTCTGTTATAAAAGATCTTAAATAAAATATGGATTTTTTTTAAATGTAAGCATAGATGATAAACATTTTACCTTTGTTTGAATATACATGTACATCATGATACTCTGATCTTTTTATTTTACAGTCTCCTACACTTACCCTTTGTACTATTACAGTTCTCTCAACCCTCTGTAAAACCTACATGTAAAGCAGTACAAGCACAAAAACTGACAAATATTAGTTTAAGATTGATGAGTAATTGAAGAATGTATCCCCAATACATATCTGTTTTTTTGCATTCACTGTTCAAATTATTCTTAGCTACATGTATAGTATTATCCTAAATAATAGATATACATGTATAAGGGATCACATGACAGCTACACAGGCACCTGACATTACTTATTTTTCTTTTAATAAAAAATACACCCCTGCTTAATTATTTGGTAGGGAGTACTTTTTTAATTATTATAAAAGAAAAATAAGTAAGGTCAGGTGCCTGTGGACAGCTAGTCCGAAAAATAATACTGTGTAAGTGGAAATTTTTGCGAGACGCATATTTAGCGATTTGTCCTTAAAAAATGGTTAATTTATTTTTAGTGAGATTTTATTTCAGCAATTTTAAAATGCACATTAAAGAGGCTATAACAAATAAAATGCAATTAATTTTAGCGATATTCAATTTTAGCGATCTCGGCAACCTCGCTAATAATGTCAAAATTAAATCCTCGCTAAAATTTCTACTTATACGGTAATTTCCAGAAATGCCAATGTAATAGCCTATACAAAAGAAAGTCTAATATAGTAATTACTCTGTTTCATTCCAGCTAAAGACATTCTTCAAGAACAACGTATACTTAGCGGGAAGTTTTGCCGGTGGATTTCTTATCGGAGCCACTTTCTGATCCTCTGATTCATCTGTTACTGGACTTAATTGATTTGGAATATTTTTCATTAGAGTTACATTCTAATGATTTATAAAATTGAAAAACTGAACATTACACAAACTGGAATGAGTATTTTCTTCATTTGTATAAATGTGGTTGTTTTTATATAACATATTTAAAATATTAAATAATTTTTACATCATTTTTTCTTTGAAAGAATTTTGATTTTTCATAAAAATGATACCTGCATCATGGCAAATTGTATTTAATTTAGATTTTTATATACATGTAATAATCATGAATGAAAATCAACATGATTAGAATGCTTAAAGATTTTTTTTTAATGTACAGATTGTATACTTTATATATCTTCAACTAAAATGAGCTTGGTACATAGGTTCAGGAAAATATAAAGAGATTTGACCAAATTAATGTTAGCAAGTATCAAAATATCATTAATATACACTGTACTTAGCTTCTCTTTGAGAGATTAATCACTGCTTTGATTACCTGTGTGTTAAAATGAAAGTGTTCTGGCAATACTTAAAATTAAAACTTATTATAAGGACCATCTAGAGATTTTTATGCATTCAATGTATTTGCTGTGACAATAGCTTGTGAGGAAAAAAGTATGAAAACAAATAAAATACTTCACAATTTGTTTCCAAGCTTTGTTATAATCATTTTAGAATATATCTTAGCTAACAGGCTTGTTGAGTGTTAGAAGGATTTTGCTTTGTACCTGGTTTATATAGGATTACATTTACTTCTCATTATTTAGGGTAGAGTGAGGTTTTGCCTGCCTGAGAGTGTTATAACATATAATAATCCTAGTCTAAGAGTATTGTAACATATAATGGTCCTAGTCTGAGAGTGTTGTAACATATAATGATCCCAGTCTGAGAGTGTTGTAACATATAATGTTTGCAGTCTTAGAGTGTTGTAACATATAATGATCCCAGTCTGAGAGTGTTGTAACATATAATGATCTTAGTCTGAGAGTGTTGTAACATATAATGATCCCAGTCTGAGAGTGTTTTAACATATAGTGATCCTATTCTGAGAGTGTTCTAACATAAAATGATCCCAGTCTGAGAGTGTTGTAAGATATAATGATCCAATTCTGAGAGTGTCCTAACATAAAATGATCCTATTCTGAGAGTGTTGTAACATATAATGATCCCAGTCTGAGAGTGTTGTAACATATAATGATCCCAGTCTGAGATTGCTCTAACATATAATGATCCCAGTCTGAGAGTACTATAACATATAATGATCCTAGTCTGAGAGTGTTGTAACATATAAAGATTACAGTTTGAGAGTGTTATAACATATAATGATCCAATTCTAAGAGTGTTGTAACATATAATGATCCAATTCTAAGAGTGTTGTAACATATAGTGATCCCAGACTGAGAGTGTTGTAACATATAATGATCCCAGTGTGAGAGTGTTCTAACATATAATGATCCCAGTCTGAGAGTCTTCTAACATATAATGATCCCAGTCTGAGAGTGTCATGACATATAATGATTACAGTCTGAGCGTGTCATAACATAAAATGATCCCAGTCTGTGAGTGTTGTAACATATAATGATCCCAGTCTGAGAGTGTTATAACATATAATGATCCTAGTCTGAGAGTGTTATAACATATAATGATTCCAGTATGAGAGTGTTGTAACATATAATGATCCCAGTCTGAGAGTGTTGTAACATATAATGATCCCAGTCTGAGAGTGTTATAACATATAATGATCCCAGTCTGAGAGTATTGTAACATATAATGATCCCAGTCTGAGAGTGTTCTAACAAATATTGATCCCAGTCTGAGAGTGTTCTAACATATAATGATCCCAGTCTGAGAGTGTTATAACATATAATGATCCCAGTCTGAGAGTGTTATAACATATAATGATCCCACTCTGAGAGTGTTAAAACATATTATGATCCCACTCTGAGAGGGTTCTAACATATAATGATCCCAGTCTGAGCGTGTTCTAACATATAATGATCCCAGTCTGAGAGTGTTGTAACATAAAATTGATCCCAGTCTGAGAGTGTTGTAACATATAATGATCCTAGTCTGAGAGTGTTATAACATATAATGATCCTAGCCTGAGTGTGTTCTAACATGAAAAGATCCTAGTCTGAGAGTGTTGTAACATATAATGATCCCAGTCTGAGAGTGTTGTAACATAAAATGATCCCAGACTGAGTGTGTTCTAACATATAATGATCCCAATCTGAGAGTATTCTAACATATAATGATACCAGTATGAGAGTGTTGTAACATATAGTGATCCAAGTCTGAGAGTGTTATAACATATAATGATCCTATTCAAAGATTATTGTAACATGTAATGATCCTAGTCTGAGAGTATTGTAAATTATAATGATCCTAGTCTAAGAGTATTGTAACATATAATGATCCTAGTCTGAGAGTGTTGTAACATATACTGATCCTAGTCTGAGAGTATTGTAACATATAATGATCCTAGTCTAAGTGTATTGTAACATATAATGATCCTAGTCTGAGAGGTTTGCAACATATAATGATCCTAGCCTGAGAGTGTTATAACATATAATAATCCTAGTCTAAGAGTATTGTAACATATAATGATCCTAGTCTGAGAGTGTTGTAACATATAATGTTCGCAGTCTTAGAGTGTTGTAACATATAATGATCCCAGTCTGAGCGTGTTCTAACATATAATGATCTTAGTCTGAGAGTGTTGTAACATAAAATTGACCCCAGTCTGAGAGTGTTGTAACATATAATGATCCTAGTCTGAGAGTGTTATAACATATAATGATCCTAGCCTGAGTGTGTTCTAACATGAAAAGATCCTAGTCTGAGAGTGTTGTAACATATAATGATCCCAGTCTGAGAGTGTTGTAACATATAATGATCCCAGACTGAGTGTGTTCTAACATATAATGATCCCAATCTGAGAGTATTCTAACATATAATGATACCAGTCTGAGAGTGTTCTAACATATAATAATCCCAGTCTGAGAGTGTTCTAACATATAATGATCCTAATCTGAGAGTATTGTAACATATAATGATCCTAGCCTGAGAGTGTTATAACATATAATAATCCTAGTCTAAGAGTATTGTAACATATAATGATCCTAGTCTAAGTGTATTGTAACATATAATGATCCTAGTCTGAGAGGTTTGCAACATATAATGATCCTAGCCTGAGAGTGTTATAACATATAATAATCCTAGTCTAAGAGTATTGTAACATATAATGATCCTAGTCTGAGAGTGTTGTAACATATAATGATCCCAGTCTGAGAGTGTTATAACATATAATGATCCTAGTCTGAGAGTGTTATAACATATAATGATTCCAGTATGAGAGTGTTGTAACATATAATGATCCGAGTCTGAGAGTGTTGTAACATATAATGATCCCAGTCTGAGAGTGTTGTAACATATAATGATCCCAGTCTGAGAGTGTTATAACATATAATGATCCCAGTCTGAGAGTATTGTAACATATAATGATCCAAGTCTGAGAGTGTTCTAACAAATATTGATCCCAGTCTCAGAATGTTCTAACATATAATGATCCCAGTCTGAGAGTGTTATAACATATAATGATCCCAGTCTGAGAGTGTTATAACATATAATGATACCAGTCTGAGAGTATTGTAACATATAATGATCCCAGTCTGAGAGTGTTATAACATATAATGATCCCTGTCTGAGAGTTTTCTAACATATAATGATCCCAGTCTGAGAGTGTTATAACATATAATGATCCCAGTCTGAGAGTGTTATAACATATAATGATCCCAGTCTGAGAGTATTGTAACATATAATGATCCCAGTCTGAGAGTGTTATAACATATAATGATCCTAGTCTGAGAGTGTTATAACATATAATGATTCCAGTATGAGAGTGTTGTAACATATAATGATCCCAGTCTGAGAGTGTTGTAACATATAATGATCCCAGTCTGAGAGTGTTCTAACATATATTGATCCCAGTCTGAGAGTGTTGTAACATAAAATTGATCCCAGTCTGAGAGTGTTGTAACATAAAATTGACCCCAGTCTGAGAGTGTTGTAACATATAATGATCCTAGTCTGCGAGTGTTATAACATATAATGATCCTAGCCTGAGTGTGTTCTAACATGAAAAGATCCTAGTCTGAGAGTGTTGTAACATATAATGATCCCAGTCTGAGAGTGTTGTAACATATAATGATCCCAGACTGAGTGTGTTCTAACATGAAAAGATCCTAGTCTGAGAGTGTTGTAACATATAATGATCCCAGTCTGAGAGTATTCTAACATATAATGATACCAGTCTGAGAGTGTTCTAACATATAATAATCCCAGTCTGAGAGTGTTCTAACATATAATGATCCTAATCTGAGAGTATTCTAACATATAATGATACCAGTCTGAGAGTGTTCTAACATATAATAATCCCAGTCTGAGAGTGTTCTAACATATAATGATCCTAATCTGAGAGTATTGTAACATATAATGATCCTAGCCTGAGAGTGTTATAACATATAATAATCCTAGTCTAAGAGTATTGTAACATATAATGATCCTAGTCTAAGTGTATTGTAACATATAATGATCCTAGTCTGAGAGGTTTGCAACATATAATGATCCTAGCCTGAGAGTGTTATAACATATAATAATCCTAGTCTAAGAGTATTGTAACATATAATGATCCTAGTCTGAGAGTGTTGTAACATATAATGATCCCAGTCTGAGAGTGTTATAACATATAATGATCCTAGTCTGAGAGTGTTATAACATATAATGATTCCAGTATGAGAGTGTTGTAACATATAATGATCCGAGTCTGAGAGTGTTGTAACATATAATGATCCCAGTCTGAGAGTGTTATAACATATAATGATCCCAGTCTGAGAGTATTGTAACATATAATGATCCAAGTCTGAGAGTGTTCTAACAAATATTGATCCCAGTCTCAGAATGTTCTAACATATAATGATCCCAGTCTTAGAGTGTTATAACATATAATGATCCCAGTCTGAGAGTGTTATAACATATAATGATCCCAGTCTGAGAGTATTGTAACATATAATGATCCCAGTCTGAGAGGGTTATAACATATAATGATCCCTGTCTGAGAGTTTTCTAACATATAATGATCCCAGTCTGAGAGTGTTATAACATATAATGATCCCAGTCTGAGAGTGTTATAACATATAATGATCCCAGTCTGAGAGTATTGTAACATATAATGATCCCAGTCTGAGAGTGTTATAACATATAATGATCCCAGTCTGAGAGTGTTCTAACATATATTGATCCCAGTCTGAGAGTGTTGTAACATAAAATTGATCCCAGTCTGAGAGTGTTGTAACATATAATGATCCTAGTCTGAGAGTGTTATAACATATAATGATCCTAGACTGAGTGTGTTCTAAGAGTGTTCTAACATAAAAAGATCCTAGTCTGAGAGTGTTGAAACATATAGTAATCCCAGACTGAGAGTGTTGTAACATATAATGATCCCAGTGTGAGAGTGTTCTAACATATAATGATCCCAGTCTGAGAGTCTTCTAACATATAATGATTACAGTCTGAGAGTGTTGTAACATATAATGATTACAGTCTGAGAGTGTCATGACATATAATGATTACAGTCTGAGCGTGTCA